AACTTAAAAAAATATTAAATACAGTGAAAGACTATTGAGACAAAAAGGAATTCATTTGAGTCACAGAGACCCTATATTTTAAGCAAGAAAAGCAAGTTAAAAGCCCTGATTCAAATACATTTCTTTCCATTTATATAACCCAAAGCTGTCATTTTGTGACTTACAATCAAGAACCCTGTAGGATACAGGACACCAGGCACCAGGACCAGCCCAGATAAGGCCCAATTCTCCATGCAAACACAACAGTGATAGTGGGCTCCAGGTGACTCAAAGACATAGCCAACACAGCCCTGCCCTCAGCTGCTAGGATCTTCGAGGGGAGAGTAAGTGTCAATAATGACACTCCAAGATGATGTCTGGAAAACATGTCATAGGCACTACAGGTATGGTATGAACCAAGTGATCTAGAAGGCTGAGCAAGTGGAGGTCCCTTCCAGCTGGGACAATCAGCTATTAATAATGGCAGTATACAATGAGATGGGAAATAAGACACAGCAAAATAACTGTTACTCCAAAGTCCACAGAAAGCTAACACAATGTTGATTATTTCCCTTGCTCCAATCCAGAATCATTTATTAAAGATTCAATCACCTCTCAGGTATTTCTTTGGGGGGCTGTTTGTTTGGCTTTGTTTTTGTTTTTGAGACAGAGCCTCACTCTGCCACCCAGGCTGGAGTGCAGTGGCCCGATCTCAGCTCACTATAACCTCTGCCTTCTGGTCTCAAACAATCCTCTTGCCTCAGCTTCCTGAACAGCTGGGATTACAGGCGTGCACCACCACACTCAGCCAACTTTTGAATTTTCAGTAGAGATGGGGTTTCACCATGTTGCCTGGGCTAGTCTCGAATTCCTGACCTCAAATGATCCTCCTGGCTCAGCCTCCCAAAGTGCTGGGATTACAGACATGAGCCACCTCAGTTTGTTTTTTGCATATCTCATAGGAAATACCAAAATACACTCCCCCATGTACTATTTTCTTTTCCCCTCTTCTACTTCTCATTTTGGGAGAGAAAAGAGCCCTCTGGGGCAAAGGAAATATCTATCTTTTGGACACACTTGAAAAACTCGGGTTTAGCAGAAGTAGACAATAATCCATCTACAGATATCTTGAACTCCTCTAAGTTGTTTTATATCCATTACCACACTTGTGTTCTAGGCATACATTGTTATCCCTATTTTATAGATGAGGAAACTCAGGTTCAGAGAAGTTGTAACTTGCTCAAGGTCACAAAGCCAGGTCACAAAACTGGAGGAAGAACTGAGGTTTCTTGCCTATTAGCTCAGTGCCCTTTCCTCTGGCCATGCCTCCCTGTGAATACGTCGTAAGTAAAGGGAAAGTTGCATCTGAAAGGGAAGTACATTCAAGCAGATCCTCTAAAAACCAAGAAACACACACCCCACTTTCTGGACAGCAGGTGTCAGCTAGGAAAGGAGACACTCAAAAAAGAAAACAGATCACCAAATCCTCTGGCCCCTAATGGCTCAATTAGATCCTTCAACATAGGATAGAACTCACTTGGCCGGTGACCAGTGCAGTCAATCCCCTTCCTGCCTGGGAGTTACACTCATAACAGCAGCAACAGCAGGAAAAGGGCTTCATGAACATAAAAATAAATAAACTTTCTATTTTTAGCAGGGCCGCAGCTGGGAGAGCTTCATTCTCTGCTCTTTAGCTGCAGCATTCTAAAGGAGGCAAGGGTCGAGGGGTTGGGGGATGAGGAAAAGTAGGGGCAGTCACACTGGAAGCCACATTTTCCGTTGCCAAACTGATTACATGCAGACCACAGAAACCAATGTCCAGCCTGGAAGTCTCTGGAGTCTGCAGGTCTGGAAAAACTGGAGAGCGTCAACCAGGAAGTCAGCCCCGTGATTGGGCTATTTTGTGGCCATATATAGAAATAAATAATCTTTTGCCCACATGGTTTTTAGAACCACTGAAAACTGTTGCAGGAGTGGAAGATAAGCTTGTAGATTTTTTCCCCTCTCCACTTAGGCTCTAGTTGGAACATGTGTGATTCTCACAGGCACTCAGATCCAGCATCTTTCAGACTTACACTCTGTGTCCAGAATTCCTGTTAAGACTGCAGCAGTTTTTCCCTGCCCAGCCCTTGCCAACAGCTGGCAACATCAGGAACCTGAGAAAGAGCACTGTAATGCTGGAAGTGGGGAATAATAGCAGCTGCAGTGTCTTCTTTCTGTTTGCCTGGAATAGGCTTGGATGTTGTGAGAAGGGAGTTCCAAGGCAAAGGAGCAGCAGAGAGGTTCTTTCCTAGAATTGGCAGAGCAGCTTTAGGAGAAGTGTGCACCTGATCTGGTTTCAGAAGTGCCTCTTAGCCTTGCTTCTGCCATACTCTGAGCCCCTGTCACCTTTAATTACGTACTTTCCCCTCTCATGATTTTCTTTTCACGCATAATTCCAATTGTACTTTCAGCCTTTCATGAGGACACAGAACGCAGATCCCAGAGCCACACTGAGGAAGGAAAGAACCAATGCTTTGGGCACTCACAAAGAGGTAAGTGCACAAAGTCAGGCACCATGCTCACTCTGCTCAGAGAAAGCTTCTAAAGCTCCCAGATCTGGCCTGGTGGCCGAGGGTTTTCATTCACTAACAAATGTTGACTGACAACTTACTGTCTGCCAGACACTCCCTGCTCACAAGAGCTCCCAATGCAGTGTGGGGAACAGAGAAACAAGCAATTTTACCACTGCAGAGCAGGCTTCATGCTGGGTCAGCACAGAGTCCTGTGGGAATACAAAGGACTGGCTTCTACCTCCATCCTGGGGAGTCAAGGAGGTGGTGGCTAAGCTGGGACCCAGGCAGGTAGAGATTGGGTAGGGGTCAGAGTTTCTCCTCAAATGCTTCCCATGTACGCGTAGCTCCCAAAAAATAACATAGCAGTGCTTATGTTATTATGCATCATACATATGAGTGCTTATGTTATTATGCATCATACATATGAGTGCTTATGTTATTATGTATCATACATATGAGTGCTTATGTTATTATGCATCATACATATGAGTGCTTATGTTATTATGCATCATACATGAGTGCTTATGTTATTATGTATCATACATGAGTGCTTATATTATGCATCATACATGAGTGCTTATGTTATTATGTATCATACATATGAGTGCTTATGTTATTATGCATCATACATATGAGTGCTTATGTTATGCATCATACATGAGTGCTTATGTTATTATGTATCATACATATGAGTGCTTATGTTATTATGTATCATACATGAGTGCTTATGTTATTATGTATCATACATATGAGTGCTTGTTATTATGTATCATACATATGAGTGCTTATGTTATTATGTATCATACATGAGTGCTTATGTTATTATGTATCATACATGAGTGCTTATGTTATTATGCATCATACATATGAGTGCTTATGTTATTATGCATCATACATATGAGTGCTTATGTTATTATGTATCATACATGAGTGCTTATGTTCATTATGTATCATACCTGAGTGCTTGTTTATGTATCTACATGGAGTGCTATGTTGTTATGTTATCATACTATGAGTGCCTTATGTTGTTATGGATCATACATGAGTGCTTTATGTTATATGTTATTCATACTATGAGTGCCTTATATGTATGTATCATACATGAGTGCCTATGTTATGTATCATACATGTGAGTGCTTGTTATTATGTATCATACATATGAGTGCTTATGTTATTACGTATCATACATGAGTGCTTATGTTATTATGTATCATACATGAGTGCTTATGTTATTATGCATCATACATATGAGTGCTTATGTTATTATGCATCATACATATGAGTGCTTATGTTATGTATCATACATGAGTGCTTATGTTATTATGTATCATACATGAGTGCTTGTTATGTATCATACATGAGTGCTTATGTTATTATGTATCATACATGAGTGCTTATGTTATTATGTATCATACATGAGTGCTTATGTTATTATGCATCATACATGAGTGCTTATGTTATTATGTATCATACATATGAGTGCTTATGTTATTATGCATCATACATATGAGTGCTTGTGTTATTATATATTATACATATGAGTGCTTATGTTATGTATCATACATGAGTGCTTATGTTATTATGTATCATACATGAGTGCTTATGTTATTATGTATCATACATGAGTGCTTATGTTATTATGCATCATACCTGAGTGCTTATGTTATTATGTATCACACATGAGTGCTTGTGTTATTATGTATCATACATATGAGTGCTTATGTGATTATGCATCATACATATGAGTTTAATACAAGCCCCTCAAAGTTAGTTGATTTCTAGGGCCCAATAACAGTTACTATGTTACCCAATAACATGTACTAAGCAAAGCAATTGCTGTCAAATCATGAGAAAGAGAAGAGAACTCATAATTTATTTGAATGTGAAATTTCCAGGGCTAACAATACAAGCCCTGGAATATTGGGGTTGAAAGAGTCATATGGACTACTGAATCCTCTCTCCTGTTATGGCAGTCCCCTCCACAGCACCCCTCCAGGTTGTCATCCAGCCTCTGTGTGAATTGTTTCAGTGATGAAGAACACATCACTGATCAAGGCAACTAGTGAGTTAGTTAGTTATAAAGGCAGGAGCTAGAGTATATGGTAGCCTTTTACCAGGTCAGAGTTTCTGACTTCTGTCTCCTAGTCTCTCTCCACTCTAATAAATCCCCCAAAAGGTCACCAGATTAACTGGCTTTGAGACTGGTCAGTCCATTATTCAAAATCTGCAGTGGCCCCAATTACCTACCTACAAATTCTAATCTACTTCTAAAAGACAAAAATAGCCCATACCAAAATGTTACATTTTGGTTATCAGAATTATGGATATTTTGTTTTTCTCCTTCATTGTTTTGAGTCTTTCTCTAGTTTTCTACATCAGCAAGAAAGAGGTGGGTGGAGGGGGGAGGGGAGGGGAGGGGAGAGAGAGAGAGAGAGAGAGAGACATCAAATAATTAACAATACTTACCAAAAAAGTCCTATGATGTTTATTCTCCACAACTATGTTCATGCTGTGGCCAACCAGAAGCCGTTCTGTCTTTCCCTATCTTCAGATCTTCTGCACTTCCCAAATTCTGGTCAACACACCTCCATCAGGAAGGTTTCCATGAGTGCTGCAGCCCTCACTGCCCTTAAATCCAAATTACAAAATTTAGCACTTCGTTATTAGCAGTTTCTACTACCTGCTAATCATTTCAAAGGTCAGTTCCACATTAGATTGTAAATTCCTCAGGAGCTTCTATATCCTATCATATCGTCTCATAGTGCCTACCTAGCACAGTGCAGAGGTTATGGCAGGTTCTTCATAAATATTTGTGGATGGATGGGTGGATGGATGGATGGATAAAATTCTATAGCTGTATTAATGAGTTCAGTTGGTTGGGGCACACTTCTAATGCAGTTTCATAGGTCATATGTGACTATGCTTCTCAAACTGTGGGGCACACATTCCCAAAGGTGTATGAAAATGTGTGTCAAGTGTATGTGAAGCCACAAGATATTAAATAATGTCTTCCTAAAGCAACAATTTCCTACCTTTTAGGGATACTTCAGTGGGGAAATCTGAAGCACTTTTATAGCCATGCTTTCCCAAGTGCAAGAATTCCCCAAAAAGAAATCAAAAAGATAAAAAAAAAGAAAAAGAATTCCCTCCAAGGCTGATATCTATATTCTGCATGAGTTCATCAGTCTGGGCTTTGATTCCAGTTACTTTCAGGATGCTATCAAGAGATATTCCTGGAATGTGTCTCTCCAGGTACATTCTTGCATCCTGCAAGTAGAGACTTTCGGGCTAGAAGCCAGACCCCTTGGCTCTAGTCCAGTCATGCAACTACCACAGGCAGCAGCCTCTTCGGGCCCCGATGCTCACTGACCTTACTCCCTTGACAAAGGTTGGATCAAAGTAAATAATCTACATGAAACATCACTGCAAACTGAAAACTTACAAAGCTCCAGGTATTACTACTGTCACTGTTATCCCGGAATTGGTCATTTAATTCTGCCCCACAGACATCCCACACCCACCCAGTTGATTAAGGTGAGTAGCAATAGGGCTCTGAATTCAGAAAATTCTGGATTGAAACTTTAGTTTCACTGGACCAGAGTCTCATTCATTTTGCAAACCTAGTATTTTGCATGATGCTGGGAACCTAGCTGTGCTGAATAAATGTATTTCTCACTATTATTTATTGAAATCTCTGTCTTCCACTTCCTGATCTTTGATAGGTTTTTACATTTTCCAAATCTGTTTCCACATCTATTAGATTGGTATTATAATAGTACCTCACAGTGTTGTTAGAAATGTAAAGGCAATATGTATAAGCAGTTTAGCACAGTGCCTGACACGGAGAAAGTCAATAGTAATTAAAACAGAGAGTGAGTGTACTTTTGCAACTTGATAAATGAAGGCTATCCAGGCTATCCCATTGTTTTGTGATTGTTTTTGTCTGCCCTTCCTTTTACCTGTTATGAGTGAGCTATTTGTGGCAACACTGATGTTGTGAGTCACTGATCTAGTTAAGGAAGCAAATTTCAAAGCCACAGTTACTTTGTGGGCCCTCAGGGCAAGAGGAATGAACAATTTCAGCCTTCACAGAAACTTCTGCCAGAATGAATGCGCTAGGCAGGGCAAGCTGGTGTTTCCCAGGAATCTCTCTGACAAAGTGACAAGAAGTGCTCTACCGAGACCACGTAAATGCTACATGAAACCCACATGATGGGCTCACTCAACAAATCAATATGTAAACCCACCCCCAAGGGAAGAGCAGATGACAAGGGAAACCACAAAGAGAGGCAAACTAAGAACTCTGTGGGGCTCTCCTCCCGCCTGAGACCCCCGCCACCAAATGGAATCCAGAGGCCTATTGTTTACATCTGAACAAAGCCAATGCTGAATCCCAACAAAGGGTCCTGAAGAGTCGCCCTGGCCAGTTTATGACTGCCAGAGACAGTGCTATAAAAATAGCTTTAAAGACACAACTCAGGGTGCAGGGCTGTGCGCCAGAAACAGAACATGGAAACTGAGCCTTTTCCTGCCCCAGAAGTATAAACAAACAAGCCACCACCAGCCTGACCCTCATACTGGAAGAAGTGGGGCACGGTGCACTATCTCTAGAACTTACAGGAGTGCTCAAGAAAGCACAAAATGCATGGAGCAGAGGGGCGTGTGTGTGGTGGAAGACAGGCAGACTATTAGAGGAGACATCCAAGACCTTTTTAAACCTCCTTCAGTGCCAAGATCTGGAGCCACAGCTGTGAAAGGAACATTTTGCCTGGCATCCTGGGTGCAGCATTTTTAAAAGCTCCCAATGAAGGTATATTGTTAACTCCTCTTTTTCAAAAAAGAAAATAAAAACTTTCATATTTAGAGTAGCTTATGTCAGAATTAGATAATTTAGGAGGAAGACCTGAACAGAAATCTAACTGCAAGAGCCAAATATGATAACCAGTATAAAGGCAGACACTCAAATCTGTTTAGAAGTTGAAAGTCAAAATAAAGAAGCAATGCATTTCAAATGGGCTGTAAAGCACAGGAAAAAAGAACAAGGTTTGGCTGTCTTCGTAAACTAAAGGCAGCCCTAAGAGGCTGAGGAATTAGGGAAGTAGAGTTGGTGCTGCCCATCAGCTCCAATCAAGCCCTGTGGAGGCCAGGACTCTTTTGGCCACAAAGACTCCCAGGTACATACTTAATAAGGCCCCACTGGGCCACCCTGAGCTCCCCATCACATGAAGTGTCTTCCTGCAGCTCTCTTTATCTGTGCTTCCTACATCTGTCTTTATGGCTCTGCCACTCACCCTCCTGGAATCCATTTATGTTGCCAGTTTGTACCATCTCTGGGAGATAATTCATTCCATAAATTTATTACTTGCTGCATGAAGTGGTATTTCCGCTGACTTGTCCTGAACTTGCCCCACTTGTGTTTCCAAAGCACTGCTATATTTCAGGATCTGATGAACAAGTCTGTGCTCATTGTATCCACATCATTTACAGTCTCATCATTTCCTCCTAACAGCCTTTTCCTTGTCAGCAGCCCTGTGACTTCCACTCAGTTCCTCAGAGCATCCAGGTTGCTGTTTGGGGACTTTCCCTAACCCCATTTTAACCTTCTAGACCTTCTCACAGTGTTGCAGGCAAGAATACACCACAGTTATTGGTAAGAGAAAGATAATGCTCTCAATTTGAAATTTCCCACACCTGAAGAATGTGTCCAATTTCGTGCAGCACTGTCCTGGGTGTGACCACATTATAAAAGACACAGCTTCTAGACTCAGAGTTTGCAAACTCATAGGAAACTGTCTTCAGGCAGCACAGGTTGATCAGTAGTTAACCTGTCTGAAATAGGGCTTCTTTCCAAGAAAGAAATCCAAGTGTAGTCAGTCTTAGCTTCAAAGCAGACTAAGTTCAATACTTAGCACTCCACTGATTTTCACAGTATCTGAGAGGGAGGCAACACCTGTTTTCTGCAACATACGGATGTGAAACCAGAGATCAACAGGTGCTAAAGCTAGTGAGGGGTGGTCAAAAAGGGGCTTCAATTTCCAGTCTTAGTTCACAAATCTGCTTATTTTGGCTTCTAAAAAAAAAAAAAAAAAACTTAATATTTTGTTCCACTCCATTTTGTGCCCATAGAGAAAGTCAATAGTTTCTTGACCACCTTCAACTATCCTTAGTGGAAACAAGAAAAATAAGGATTAAGCAAAATGTAATGGCCCTACTGCTGCCTGGGGTTGTTCATGAGTTCATAGGAGTTGGGTTTTACTGCCAAGAGAATAAAATGGTAGGTGAGTGCTCCAACCTGCTTTTTCATAAGGGATGCATCATCCACCCGGAGTGAAAACATCCTGGCCAGATGCCCACTTCTTTTCTTCTGCATGATTACATCTTCTAATAGTGTCAATACAGCAACAGACTTTGCAGCCTTGGCAGTCTAGTGGGAGAAAATCCACCCTCCAGCCCACCTGTAAGTCCTAATTTCTCTGCCACAGGAGTTGCAGGTTCTCAGCACTAGACTTTTCTCCTTATTAATTGAGATAGCTAGAGACACCATCTTATGGATGGCCCCTAGTTTCCTTTCTACTATCAGACAACCATGTCCATGAAGCCCTGAGCTCAACTTGATTGCCCTGTTTTTCTCATTTATTTTCTTCCTCTTTTCTCTTAAAAGCAACCCTACATACCCATCACCCTGGCCAGAACCAATCTGTAATGTTGCTCCAGACTTCCAGAAAAGCATTTTCTATGGCATCCCCACAATAGGCGTCATTCAAGACTCACACATGATCCCTGCTCAAGTGTGGAATTCCTTCACAGAAGGCAACATAGGTGATATGGTGGTAAAAGAACGCATTGAGGGGTCTGAAACACTTGGATTCAAATCTGGCTCGACCACTTATTAGCTATGTGATCTTGAGGGGCTTCCTTAGCTTCCTCTCAACCACAATTTCCTCACCTGTACCATGAGGACGATACAACATCGCATAAATGTGCTGTGAAACATTGAATAATATACTGTGTGTAACCCTCCAGGCAGAAGACTGCCATTCCCGTGTCTTCAGGCCGGTATTCGAGGCCTTACTATCATCCATCCCAAGCCTGTCTTCCTCATGGCCCTGTTAGACTGTATATTCTGGCCTTAAGCTCCAGGAGTTTGAGAGGAACCTACCGTACATAGGTAGACAATTCCAGGCTTAAAGCGTTATTACTAATTTGAACTTCTCCCAACTTGGGAATCTAGCCTTCCTTTGAAAGAAAACCTTTATTTTCTCCTTTTTCTAAGTATTTTTGGCATTCAAGCTGGATAGTGGGTTTTCTCTTTGGCCTTTCAACTCTGAACCACGTGGTTTCTCCTGAATAAACAGAGAGGAATCTCTTGAAGCTCAGTTGTAACAATTGGTTGCAGCTGTCATTTTAATGCCCACTTGCAGGAGCCAAACGACACAGATACTCAGGCACAGTCAATGGTGGGCAAGTCCTGGCTCAGCACCTGGCACCTGGTACCTGTGCACCTAGCAAATACAGCCGACGGAACAGCATCTCAGGCTCTTGTCAGGAAGGACCTCCCAGGATGACACGAGGAGGCACCTGAGATGCTCCACAGCCAGGTTCTGGCATCCCCCTGCCCTTTTGCCACCCACAGTATCCCTGGAGGCAATGAACAAGCCCTGGATCATCAGAGCTTTGTGTCTGGAGTCCCCTATGCAACCGTGGCGCAGGCCTTTTCATTTCCTAGCATCCCATGTGCTCGGAACTAGATCCAAGAGATCTGAGTAACAAGTAGATGGAGAGCAACCGAGGATGAGAGGGAAGAACCCCTGAGAACTTTTTGTTAAAAAGAACAGTTTTCCCCTCCATCTTTGCTTCTGACAGCTCCTGGGCCGCAGTTCTCTTTAAAGCCTCCAGGGAGCAGAGGCAAAGATTCTAAAGAGGCGAAAGGTAGCAAACAGAATGCCTATCTGTCCTGATGTTACCTGCACCCCTTGAAGCACCCGGCGTTGACTAGAGGGGCCTGTCATGCTCATTTGTCCGGATAAGACATCTGGGCCTTCACCCAACCTGCTGCCTGGTCTCCCTCTCCATCGCCTCCCACCCCTTCCAGGAAGGCCGCTCTATTAGGCACCTGTTTTCCCTGAAGCCGGGTTTGCCCGGAGTTCTGTGTCCCGTCCCTGAACACTGGCACGTCTGTGAAATACACTGGGGCTGGTTCCGCAGTGGCTGTGTCCTGAAGGAGGCGTGTTCCGGGGCTGAGGGGGCAAGGACGCGTAATGGCGGGGGCGGGAGCCACTGGCGGGAAGACGGGGAAGGGAGGGCGCGTCTGGGGCGTGTGCGCCCAAGGCCAGAGGCACCCGAGGTGGGCTGGTCCCGGAAAGCCTGGGCCGAGCCCCGGGAGCGGGCAGGACCGCGAACCAGATTCAGGAAGTTGTGCCTCTGACATCAGGGGCAGGACGGAGTTGGAGCGAAACCTCAACTATGCACGGCGTCGGCCCGCAGGAGAGCGGAGAACACAGAGGGCGCTGTCCTCGGCGACAGCGGCAGGTACGCGCGGCGGCGGCGGGCGGGGCGGGCGGCTCCCGAGACCTCGGCCGGCCCCGGGGCCCGCCACGCCAGACCTGGCTCGGGGTGGGAGGACAGGGGCAACCAAAAAGGAACCCAGAACTCGCCGCACGGCCCAGGGCGCTGTCAAACAGGGCAGCACCCGGGAGATCCCGGGGCGACCACGCCTGCAGGAAGCCCTTCTGCGGACCGAAAGGTGAGTTTCTGCACTTTTTGTTACGTATTTTAAAAATGCATTTTTAAGAGCCCTCTCTTTGGAAGGGGACGAACACTCACTTCTTTCTTTAAAAGGATGAGACCTACCCTAGAGATACAAGTGACCTCTTGCGCCTTCACAACTAGCTCTGGTGTGTTTCCCTCCTTCGCGAGGACTCTCAGGAGTCTTCCCCTCTGCGCCTGGGCTGTATCCACATGGGCGCCGCGGAGGACGCCGGGAGTTACCTTACTCCAGCTGCCGGTGGGAGCGCCTTGAAGCGGACAGATGGACATTCTGTTTGCTACTGAGAAAGCCAAGGCCTGAGACCCTCCAGAAAGCATCGCGGGCTTAGGTGTTTCTAAATCATTCTAGGTGAAGCCAGATTTTCTCTGGGGCTAAGGAACTGGCCAAAACGAAAATATGGCCTGGAGCCCGGGGCGGAGAGGAAACCTGTTGGCTGTTCTGAGAGTTTCCAGGGAGCTTGCTGTGACATAGATTGCTAATTAACTTCATTGACTCTCTCAAGGGTCCCACTCCCAGACCCGCATCCCACCTGTGAAGGTAGAATGGGGGACATAATAGGGCCTGTTTCTAACATTCTGAAGAGCTTCACGGGGATTCATCATATGATCATAGAGTTAAGTAAACTATAGATGATAGCTAGTGGGAAGACCAGTCGCGCCTAACCGAAAGGGAAACTGAAGCACACACACTCACCCTAATTTAACCGAGAACACCGGTGGCCAGCAGGCCATGCTACTTAGCGGGATTGCGCCACGGACTGTGTGGCACGAGGAAGGGAAAGAAAAGAGCACTGGAGCATCTTGGAAGCCCCTCCTTTATAAAGCAGTTGCATTTCATTCGCTCAGCTGCAGCTCATAAGGACCTGAAGCTAATTTAAAGAACCCTCCTTCTGAAGTTCGGTTTGATAATGGGAGAGGCTTGAGTTACAAAGAGCAGGACTTAAAAATAGCATTGATATAACTTGTTCCTAACCCTTTTGCAAATGGTTTGCAAGTTCTGTCTACAGACTTCTGCAAGGGTCTTAACAGCCTTTAAGCTAGTTCAGCTGCATCAGCCACTTAGTCTGATGTGCCTGCCCTTCACCCAGTGCTGGGCTGGAGAGGCAGCTGTACAAGAAAATCTGATCAAGTCTTACCTTTTGTCTGAAATTCGGCCTCTCCGTCCTCACCCCAGATACAATTTTAGGAAAGAGATGCATTGTAAAACAAATGTTTATCTGGCCTCCGTACATTGTCAATATTTAGACTGTGAAATTAAGAGTATGACTTCTGTCCTCTTCCTTAAAGACAAACTCAAGAGAATAATAAACACTCAACAAGCTAAATTACTGATTTCACCAAAGAGGGAGGTGCATCCATTCCATACATTCGGTCAATATTTACCAAACCTACTGCGTGCTGGCCAGTATGTCAGGGCCTTGGAGTCCAAAGATAATGAGATGGTTTCCACTTTTGAGGAGCTTCAGTCTGGTGAGACAGATACAGAAACAAACTGCAGTTCAAGACAATATACATAATAGCAGTGGCTACAGGGCACTGACCAATCCAGGGGAAAGGGCAGGAGATCCTTCCCAGAATTATCTGTTAAGTCCACATCAAAGAAGTGATGGATGAGCAGTCTTGAAAATGACTAGGAGTTACCAGGGAGAGTGTTTGAACAAAGGAAAGAGTGAATGCAAAGTCCATGGCAGGTAGAGGAACAGCGTGTAATAGGAATTACACTGCTAGACAGAGAAGGGCGAACTCCCTCCTATGGGAAGCCATTTTGGGTTTTTTTAAGCAGAGGAAGGATCTGGTCAGATTCGTGTTTGGAGAAAGAATTATTGGCCAGATGGAGACTGGCTTACAGAGATGGGAAGCAGATATAATGAAGACCTCAGCTAAGACAATGGCAGTGGGAAATGGGAAAAGGAATGGATTTTAGGAAGTACAGTAAAAAGTACCTGGTGACCAAGTGAAGATGGTAAGAGGGGAATGAGTTGAACAGAGGGTGATTATAAGGTGTTGAGTGGGACAGACAGGGGAAAGTATATTGTGGAGCCATTAATAAAAATCTTGTTAGCTATAGAAGGAGTGGGCCTGAGAAGCAGATTGTGGAGAAGGCAGTGATGAACATTTTAGACGTACTTAAGTTGAATATGCCCAGGAACTGTCCAGGTGGAGTAAGCAGTTGGGTAGACACGTCTGGAACTTAGGGAAGGTAGAAGGCAGCTCAAGAGGCCTGTGGTAGCACCACATTGGTGCTGAAGAGTCTTATATTTGTCAGTAGTGGCCTATAGATATTATTTTCATATCATATGGTAACTTCCAGATGACTTTGTCCAGACACTCAAGGCTTTCTCAGGATACCTTGGAGGATAATTTCAAAAATGATGGAGAGAATTCTGGGTTCATGACACACAGATAGTAAAGATGCATTTAATTATCACTCCCTCATGTGAAAAATTAATACTTAGTTCCATTGTAAGATCTGTGAAGACCTCTCCAAAACTCATATTCCAAGTCTTTAGTTAGTTACCTACCCCTGTGTGGGAGAGTCCTGCCTTTATGAAAACAAGGAGGATGATCTGCTCCGACTAATTCCAGACCCTTACAGAGAAGGTCTTTAGGTCTGACTGCCAATGCTCAGCTTGGGATCTTGTGTGACCTGCATGGAAAAAAAAAACCTTGAACTTGGGGCTAGACATACATATATGGCTTAACCACTTATTAGCTGACCTTGAACAAGTTCTTGAATCTCTCAGCTTCATTTACCTTATATTTAAAATAGGGATAATTATTACCAGCGCAATGATTAGAATCAGAATCAAATTGAAAAAGAAAGTTCATTTAATGTGCTACATAAATTGTAAGACTCTATAAAAATGTAAGGGGTTTTATTATTATTTCTAATCTTGCCTCTTGAAACTACCAAAATTAGATGGACTGTGTAGGTGTAGGCTCTGGGCAGCATCTTCGGCCCAGACTTGCCCCTTTCTTATTGTATGACATATTTTAAGGCAGTAATTACAAGTCTCCTTCCATCACATCAGTGACGTGCATCTACTCTGTCCTCTTTTGTACTCCTTAGCTAAAGTGGTCAGAGCCCAAAGAAGTCACTGCTCTGCTAATGTTTATGCAGGTTGTATACTGCACAAGGACTCCTGGGAGTCTATGGGGCTGAAAGCAGCCAGTATTCCACCTGCCATGCCTTAGACCCACCCCACTTGCAGCTGAATCCACATGGAGGAGATACCTTTTTCTAACTCTCACCATGGTGCTGATTTAACCAATTTAATCCAACGGCCTTGAATCTGACCATCAGTCAATGGCTTGGATATATTTGTGATTTTTTCCCTCCCCCAACCAGGGAAGACTGACTTATTCCAACCTCATGAAGTTCGAATGTTATGCCAACATCGAAAACTTTCAAGTAAACAGAGTCTAAGCTGTTGATGAAAAAAAGGAAGTAACCACAGATTCAGAGACTTCAAATGGAAAAACATTTCTGAGAGGAGCTAACCTCACCCCTTCACTTCACAGATGAGCAAACCACAGTTCAGGGAGGGAGAGGAAGTGTGTGCCCAGTCACACAGCTGGTTAACAGAGCGGGGCCAGAATCCAAGTTCTGTCTGTCTCTGCCCAGGAATACCCAATACTATCCAGGGTCTTGATCACCTTATATATCTTGCATGCAAGGACACAGCTAGGCATTCAATGCCTGCAGAATGGTGAAATGATAAGATTATACCTGAAGTTTGAATCCTCCCCCAGCCCCAGTGGCCTCTGGGGCAAACTAGAAGACTCTCAAGGGATATGGGTAGTTCTCAACTTTTTTTTTTTTTTTTTTTAGAGACGGAGTCTTGGTCTGTCACCCGGGCTGGAGTGCAGTGGCACAGTCTCGACTCACTACAACCTCCGCCTCCGGGTTCAAGCAATTCTCCTGCCTCAGCCTCCCAAGTAGCTGGGATTATAGGCACCCGCCATCTTGCCTGGCTAATTTTTGTATTTTTAGAGAGACAGGGTTTCACCATGTTGGCCAGGCTGGTCTCAAACTCCTGACCTCATAATCCCCCCACCCTCGACCTCCCAAATGCTAGGATTACAGGCGAGAGCCACCGTGCCTGACCAGTTCTGAACTTTTAAGCCAACCTCCATACCACCCTTGTCTCTTCCTTTTCCTCAATTTCAATCCTTAAAGTTTTCTCAGGAGTTCCCAAAGACCCCTCAAGAAGGGAAACAACACTGGGTGCCTTAATTAATTAAAACCCTCTTAGCGTTTCATCAAACTTGTCAGGAAGAGTGTTTTCACCTCAGAGATCAGAATGAGCTAGAGACCAGTGGATGAGTCGGCATTACACATCCAATATTAATATGTAACATACCATTCAGTGAGAAGGGCTCCAGGTGAATACTGGGCATTCAGGAGACTCGTCACAGGCACATTAAGGGAGATAAAGACAGTGGCACCATAGACTTTTTCCCTCCCTGCACAGCAAAAGGAAAATCGAGTGCAAATTCTTTGAAGGGCCGGAGCCCAGCCCAGGTTTCTAGCTTTTCTCCCACATTGGTCTAAGCCATCTGAACAGAGCAGCATCTGGGGTCATGAGTAGACATTTAGTGGAGACCAGAAAAGGGTAGCTACGTTCCAAAACGAACCTCACACAAGCACAAGATTTCTTTCTCAGGGTCAACTCCCAAGGGACATGGCAGCATCCAAACACAATCCTCACCCCTGGGAAGAGACTTGCTCCCAGGATTGTAAACAAGCCACTCCATGGAGTTTGTCACTAAGAAATAAAACAAAACCTAACCATTGCTGTATTTCTCGGTCAAAATGGAAGAGATGATTGTATTTAGAAGCCACTGCAGACATGCCCTTGCTCTTGACTATAACTTTCTCCCAGTGAGATATTTTTCAGTTAAGTTTCATTCTCCTCAAATACAACCCTAATTTCAAACGGGATAGTCTTCAGAAAATCCCATCCACCTTTTTTTATCTTTTTTTTTTTTTTTTTTAGTTTTCCAGGCAAGTCATAAAAAGGAAATTGGCAGAAGAGAGGAAAATAATAGACAAATAATAACAATAAGAAGAGTTGCATGTGATAGTATGTTTAGTCTTCAAATTGTCCTGAGAGGGAAAAGAACTATGGACTAAAGGTTCAGAAGCGGTGTAGAAACTGGGGTTCAGGGGCAGAGAAAGAGGCAGTGGGAACAGGGAAGTCCCATGAGCTTAGTATTACAGGAACAGAATAGTACAGTGGATATGCTGTGTATTAACCCAGGTGACAGTGGCCACCATAAAAGAGAAGAATGCTGAGCCGGGCATGGTGGCTCATGCCTGTAATCCTAGCACTTTGGGAGGCTAAGGTGGGTGGATCACCTGAGGTCAGGAGTTCAAGACCAGCCTAGCCATCATGGTGAAACCCCAACTTTAAAAAATAATAAATTTAAAAAAGAAAAAAAAGAGAAGAATGCTGCACTCTGAGTCAAGAGCTTCTTGTTCCCTCCCCAACCCAAGTAAGATACTGAGTGTGCATCTATCTGCTCGTGGTTTCTAATTTGTGATTCCTCTGCTGCTCTATGGGCCAAAGTGCCGGCTTTCAAAAGCCCCT